GGGTAAGTGTGGGTGCCAGGTGCGGCCCGGATTTGGGTCGTGACACACGTTAACTTTGCGACTGTCCTATTAGCCCATTAAACAATTTTGAACATATATTATTATACCATTTTTTGATCAGCCCTAAATTTTAAGAAGCTAGTGAATTCACACCCCAATCATTATATGACATGAGTTAATTTAATTAAAAATATAGTTTTTTCATTTTAAATTTTTTCTTTATTTTTTTTCTTTATTTCTCTCTCTCTCTCTCTTACTTTTATTTTGAATCTTAATTTAAATATATCTTAAATTTCATTTCATCTTCCACCTCCCACTTTCAAGTGATTCATCCCATCATTATTTTTTTTTCTTCACCTCCCACCCCCATGTCAAATTGAAACTCACTTCCATTTTTTTTCTTCTTCTTCTCCGGTCAAATTCTTTATAAAATTCATACTATTATTTAGACTTTATTGAGTTATTAATAACAAAATTAATTATATTTTAGGAAAAATTTGAAGGTAATTTCATATAAATTCAAAATTAGAAATGATAATTTTAAAAGAATCAATTAATTTCTCAAAAATTGAAAGAACTTAGTTGAAATCGAATTAAAAAATGATATGATATTTCCTAATCATCTTGAGATCTAATGAGTTTATCGAATTGTTCGAAATATAAGAAAATATTTCGATAAAATTTTAAAACTAAAGAGAGTAAAACTAGTAGTATCCAAAAAAAGAAAGGTGAAATTGTGGTAAAAATGGTGACATTGAAAGTAAGAAGCTTCAATGAATGGAGATAACAATGAATTTTTGAAAAGGAAGGAGAAAGAAAGAGAAAATAAAAAGGAGAACAAATTAAAATAATAAGAAAATATATTTTATAATAAAATACTTGTAAAAATAAAATTATATTAGTTATTTTAGGCTATACACTCTCTTTGAGAGAGTGCACACCACTCTCTATGTCAGATGAACGAAAAATGATGTAATTATATTTATTCAAAATTGTTTAGTAGAGTAATAAGATGATTGCAAAGTTCATGTATCTTTTAAAAAATTCGGGACAACTTCAGTGATGACTTTATATCTTTTCTCAATTTTTTTATAAATATGTCTATGGTCTTTATCAAAATGAAGATCATCTTGATACATTATTAAGTACATGATTGAAGAAATAGATGAAGAAAATAAAATTAAAAAAAAAAACAAAAGGAAAATCTATACCCAGAAAAAAAAAGAAAGAGAAAATTAAAATGAAAATAAACATTCAACATCTCCATATATAACTGCATTCATAGATTATGCAAGTCATAAGAATAGAATTTGAAGAGACTTGTTCAGGGGCGGAGTCACGTAGTTGGACACCCTTCGTCGAAAAAAAAAAGTTATATATACATGTACAATTTTGATTTAATATTGATATACATAAAAGTTAGACCCCCTAAAATGACTAAGTGAGACGCAGTGGAGTTGACAATAGCTGCTACATCCCTATACTTTGTCCGGATTCGTTTTCTAGCAGGGTGTTTCATTTATCTTTAATTATTTTTGACTTCTTGAATTTAATTAATAAAAAGAACATGCATAGTTTTAGCATAAACATTTAGTAGTGTGTTGGTTGATTGTGTCATGAACCCTCCAGGAACCCAAGGTTGAATCCCCTCTAATACTAATTATTTTTTTCCAATTAAAATTGAATTATTTACTTAAATTTTAATATCTTTTCACTATGGAATAAGAATTCTTCAATTTAATACTTTTTCCTTGTGGATTTTTTTCAATTAAAATTGAATTGTTTCTTTAAATATTAATACTTTTTCCTTGTAGAATAAGATTTTCTTAAAAAAATTAAAAAAGAGTTTTCTCGACAATGAAGTATATTAAAAATGACTTGCGAAATCGAATGGATGATGAGTTTTTAGACGGTTATATAGTGCCTTAGGTTAAAAAAAAAGTATTTCGTACTATTTTTAATGAGTCTTATAAAAATATTTCAGGATATGAAACCTCGTTGAGTACAATTGTAAAAATATTTTTAAATTATTTTTTCAATATTAGTTTATTTTTTTTATGTTAGTTTTAAATTATACGCTTGTAATTCTATTAAAAATATTCTTATTTTTAATTAAATATTGTTTAACTTGATTATTTGTTTTGTTAGTTTAAATTATCGTTTATTTTTAAAAAATACTATTAAAAGTTTGGACACCCTTAATGAATTTCCTGACTACGCCACTGGACATGTTATTTTTTAACTTACTAGACGTAATTAGAATTGTAAATATGATTGAAAATTTTTAATTAATTAACAAATTATTTAATTAAAAATGAAGAAAAAAATCCAAAAAAAAAGGAAAAAATAAGAATGGAGGTCATAAAGAGGTGTCACATCACCTCTTCTATGTTTCTCCTTTATATATGTTATATACATATAAGGTGTATGTTGTAATCAATGGCAAAGCCAAAATTTTTAATAAGAGATTCAAAATCTAGAGAAATAAACACAGAAATAATCTAAAGGGGTTCGACATCTATTATATATATTTAAAATATTATTATAATTTTTAACTATATATAAATAATATAATTTTCCGTCAAAGGATGTGTTGGGTTTTATTTGCCCTAAATTTCTTACCATAAATAGATTTTCCTTTTAGGAAAAGATTTTGGATTGACTAATCCTTTTCTTGTAGGAAAAGGTTTAGGATTATATAAATAGAGACATGTTCCTTCTAACTTAATTAACATTCACAATGTAGTCTTAAGGGCTTTGACAGTTTTGGTTAGACGGAGAATTTGCGGGTCACAAGTTTGATACGTTATCACTTGTGTGAACCTCCCATGTATTCCGAGTGAATTGGTTGAGGTTGTTTCCCTCTGTATTTTGTACTCTCATATTTATAGTGAATTGCTCATCTCCTTTGTGGACGTAGGTCGAACCACGTTAAATCTTTGTGTCTTTTGATATATTTTTCGTTGTCTTCTTACTCGTGGCTTTTTAAGGTTTGTTTTGCTAGCTTCTACATTTACACCTGCTTATTTTCGGTCCTAACAGGATGAACTCCCCTGCAATAAGCTAGCTACACACCTAATTGTAACCTTTTTCGATGACTAACAAAGTAATGTCAGTGTTGAATTTTGTTGCAAAAATATTTGTGTAAAAAAAATCTTTGTTTTTCCTTATCTTCACTGTTTAACTAGTGCAATAATTTAATTGGTTGTCGAGATTGTGTTTTTAGAAGAATATCACTTGCTAGTAAGATTAATTGTTAGCTCTCGTGTTCATCATGTGCTATCCTAATTATTTACCTGCCCTAAGTTCATTGGATATTTGTCTTTTTTAAGCAAAGTAAGAAATTATGTTTAGATAACTTAAATTATTTTTTTTAAAAAAAGGGAAGTGAAATCGATATCCAAATCCAATTGGGTTTGGGTTTGGGTTTGATACAGTAAATTTTGAACTAATAATAAAAACTAAATCTAATTCAATTGGAAAATTTGATACCATAGCGGGGGGGGGGGGGGGGTCTAAATTCAGAAACTAGTGTAATAAAAAAACAAATCCTAATTCAATTGGGTTTGATACAGAAAAACCATAAACTAGTCAATTTTGGTTTGAAAATCCATATAAACCCAAACAGAGGTACCAGTTGGCCAAATTGAATTAAGGCTGACAAGAATATAGTAGCAAAATTAGTGATTTTTATGATTGAGAAACTATCTATTCATGAATCACAACTATTGACTCAACTGGAAATTGTTGGACCATTATGCTCCAACTTGAAAATTTTGGAAATAGGTGATTGTTATGATTGTGATTTCATCAAGATCCATAACGTCAATTTTGTCTCTTTCAAATACATAGGTAAGAAACGAAACTTGCTTCTCGAGTATATTACTTCACTTCTTACTGTAGTGATATGTGAACTGCTTGTTCATACACTTACAACCTATTTTACTCAACTCACAACGCTTTCACTTGAAGTTTATCATACGTGTACGGTAAGCAATTATATATTCCATAGAGGTAGATTAATATATAAAGAAAGCTTGATTTTACTCTTGTAATTTTTAATTTGTTTGATTATTCCAGGATCTCGATCATTCTTTATCAAAGTTCAACAATCTCAAACTGCTTGTGTTGAAACTCTCGGGCGTACTAGAAGATGTTTCCCTACTTGATATTACTTCACTAATAGAAGCATCTCCATATTTACAAAAACTGCATATTGAAGTATGTATGAGTTTATTCTTTATATTATTTTTTATAAGTACTTTTTTATTTTAATATGTAGGACATTGTAAAATAACATGGGATCATGTAAACTAAATCCAAACTTATAATTATTAATATTAGGAGTTTAATACTCATGTAAAAAAAATTGTTTTTTTTCCTTGTTATATTAACCAACACCAATTTTTGTATTTATTACTCATATTTTTATTTAGGAGTGTGAAAAAATTGAATCGATCGATAAATCGAACCAATAAAAATGTTATTGATTTATTATTATTGGGGTATTTGGTTCAGTTTTTAATGGTTTTATGAAAAGAATTATTGGATTATCAATTTGGTATTGGTTTTTAATATTGGTTTATTGGTTAAATCGATAACCCATTAAGACTAGTAATTTACTATCGATAACCCATTAAGACTAGTAAGTTACTACTTTAACTTGTACATAGATATTATATATTAATATCAATATCTTACTAGCTACTGTTTTTATCTTTTAGCCTTTAATTCACACTTCACAGTAATGTTCAATTCACAATTTCACATTATACAAAACGTTAAAATCTAAAGTAAGAACTATGTTCTTCGTAATTTTATTTTGTGTTACACTTATATAGTTCTTTTCATTTTTGTTCTTATTGTTTCTATTGTATGACCATTTGTAAAGTTACATTATTGGGTCTCTTCATGTTTGTTCTTATTGTTTCTATTTTATGAGCATTTGTAAAGTTGCATTATTGGTTCTTTTCATGTTTGTTCTTATTGTTTCTATTTTATGAGCATTTGTAAAGTTACATTATTGTGTTTCACATCAAATTTATAAGAAAAATCGTATATTTGCTTTATAAGTATTTTCTTATTAGTTAAATCGAAATCGAACCACTAAGGATCAAAACTGATAAAAAGTATCTTATTGATATTGATTATTGCTTTAACATATTTAAAAATTAAAAACCGATAAAACAAACTAATAATACATAAAATCGAACCGAACCTACTAATGCACACGCTTAGTTTTTCCCTTTTCTTCCATATTGTTTTAACCTATGCCAATTATAATGAATATTAACCTTCGGTAGAAAAACCTTGTTCTCGTTCCTTATATTATGTCCAATTTTGTATTTTTTTAAATTTAAACAATCACATGTATGAATGCATGTATGGAATAAGAATTGTGTTCGCAATTGGTATATGTATAAATTAAACTCAATTGCAATTATGTTAGGAAAAAAGATGTTACCCTGGGCTTCTTACTAGTTATATTTTACTCACCCTTTTGTTTTCCCTTTTCAGCTTGAGTGGTGTACAAAGATGATCTCTAAAAAAAAATTATACGAAAGAAGTGTCCCATCAACATCTCAAAGAAGTCAAATATAATGGTTACCATTGGTGGTTTTGCTGATATGACACTTATAACTTACCTTATTGAAAATAGTGTAGCGCTTGAAACATTCATAATTAATCCTTACAAATATGATGCTCAATAAGAGGACGGGCTCGACGACAACTATCAGGATAAATTCCCAAACAAGTCAAGCTAGTGATACTTTAGGGGTTGTTCGGTTACTGACTTGACTAGAGTCGTAGATGAAGAAATTAATATGTTGTTTTATTAAGATATTAGTTATGTATTGGTTAATAATTTATGTATTAAATTATTGTAACATGTTTCTGTACCCTCAATCTTTAAGACTACAGTAACCTCACACATAAAGTCATCTTTCTTATCCAAAAGATAACATGCAATAAATCACTGGATAATATTCCTTCTACAGATACAGGGAAAGCAAAATTAATAATGAAGTGGAAACCACTTGAAGATAATTTTTATACAGAAACCAAAGGGTGAAACTTTAGTCACAAAGAAACAAGCTATCTTCCAAATAAAACACTCAAGTACTACAGGCTACACTCTGAATACACCCTTAGTCTATGTTGCTCGAACTCTTTAAAAATGTCAACGGGTGCGTGTAGAATCCTTCAAAACTAGTGTTATTTTCAAGGATCTGACACGGATGGACAACATTTTTGGAGAGTCCGATCAACTTAGCCCTCAGTGAACTTGTTATGTCATAACAACTTGTAAAGTGGATGATTTACGCATCTACATCAGTTTCCTTTCTTTTCTCTCTTATAGATTGACAGTGGAGATCCCTGGTAAAACTTGTAGTGGTATCCAAGAAGTAGAGAACAATCGACATTACACAGCAACCTACAAACATCGGTATGGGACCAAATATCCAAAGGAAGAGAGGAAATGACAAATAAAATGCTCGTAGTCCAAGTGACCAAAACATGCTCCCTCGGTTCAAATTCCTTGCGACATACTCTATAGAATCAGATCTTTCTTTGAAGGTAGGCACAGTAGCTAAGAAGCTAACATGAGCGTAGTACCTGATAGATTGAACATTGCAGAGAAATGCAACCAGAAAGCAAAGCAAGATGGTAAAAAACTTTATAGAAGACATCATAGATGTTTTATTCCCATACAGTAGCTCGGAGTGCGTATAGCTTGATTTGTTGCTCACAAATACACTAATAATTGAGCTGAGCGTAATTGCAGTTGTTGCCAAAAGTGTAGATGCCATAATGTTGTTCCGTATTGTTTGAACTGCGAGAACTCCATTCTTTATTGGATCCTGGATACAGTTACCTCAAAGTCAATTGAAATCACATAACTGACTGTCAGTCAATTGCTATGGATTGTACCTCTACCAGAACAGAACACTAATAATATGTTTCTCGATATATAGCACACATAAGCAGGAAACAAGAAGGGAAATGCAAAATTTGGACATGAAGAAAAACATTAAGATGATTGAGATCTTATAAGAATAAATTAAGTTAATTGACATAATATATCTGGGTCTGATAAGTTCTGCAAACCAAACGCTGGTTTATTCTTTCTTTTCATATTAGACTCTCATACTCCACTTCTTCCTTTTGGAAGAGAGTAACCTATGCGGGGTTCGTACCAAGTTGCTCCTAAATAGCGCTAGGAAAGCAACGTATACAGTACAAGGCCCAAATTATCATAAAGCCAGGGACGGGTCAAACAGGATTAGATAGTTTCAACTATATTGTAATCATATAGCAATATCTCCAAACACGAATTAGGCCGCAAACCCTTGGGAATCTGTTCTACTCCCATTGAAAGAACCACCACATATTGTGTACTCAAAAATAAAAATGCCAGCCAAACTTTGTTATAAGGGAAAAGGCTAAGCACAGCAGCCAAAAGTAATTCCATCATAGTAAGTTCATTTATTAAAAACCTTATTTGCACGGACCCTTCACTTTTGATGCCGCATCCGTCTCGGATTCTTCAAAAATACACTACTTTTGGCTAATCCGAGCAACATAGTTGAAAACTAAAAGATGCAGCAATGAAGAACTCTATCAGAGTTTATCAAAGAGCCAATAGTTGGAAAGGTTCCTCTTATGCATAATACTAACTAAAACTAAAATGGAACACACGAGAGTATTAAGGAAACAAGAGCAATTGCATTAGACTTTAAGAACAAATCTATTACAGGGTCGAAGTTAAATATGAGTTATCACACCCGAGAAGAATTGACATCAGATTACTTTGGGTTCTACTGCTCAATAGCACACATGAAGAAGTCAGCAAACTAGACATCAAAAAACAAAGTGAAGATAGGCATTTACTGGCTTCCGAAGATGAGAAATATTCAAGCAATTGGTTTCCAAAATGTCTTTAAGAAAAAAATGGCTCTAACACCAGAACCACATCATTAGTATCTAACACTACAACCGCATCATTAGTATTTAGTACAACTTATTATGAAAAATATTTTTTACGAGTTAAACAGCATAATAAGATGCAGGGATGATTTGTTTTATCTAATTCTTCAAATATGTCCACGAGTGCATGCCGAATCAATCAGAAGTAAATATTTTTGAAGAATCTAACACAGCTACGGCATCAAAAGTAAAAAAACCCTTGCCAGAGAACCAGAGCGAAACTCTTTTAACAACATAATTTCATCAATATTTTGGGCAAAAAACACACCGGTACAGTCTTATACCCCTAATTCATCGGCTGAAGTAATTAAAATTAAAGCATAGTATATAAAAAGAAAATAGTAGAAAATGGAGACTAACGGTCATAATAGAGAGGACCCAGTGATGGCGAGACTCAGAATTGATTCCGATAACAGTTCTTCTTGGATTGCGAATAATGATGGTGAGAAGCCAGGCATGGTATGATACGAAAATGGCAATCCCAAAAGGGACAAGTAAATAGTCAAGTTCCCGTTCCTCCATCATCATCCTCACTTTCTACCTTGTTGTTGAAATTGGAATGGAATATATTATAAATCTCTACTAGTCCAACTACTTTACTCACCCGAATTTATTCCTGCATCTAAATCATGTCACAACAACATAAATTATACGCATTCTGTCCATTTTTACTTGTTCACTTTAATAATATTTTTGGAATGTTCAATTATATTTATAAAATTAAATAGTTTGTTAATTTTTATTTATTTTACGTTGCTAATTTTTCATTTAAAAGAAATTACTTAATTTAATTTAACGCACAAATTAAGAAAATAAAAAAAAATTAAATTCTGTGATACAAAAATAAATTATATTAAATATACAAAATTATTCTTGTAATTTTAAACATGTTATTAAAAAAAGAAAAGAAATCATTTTTAAAACAAACTAAAAAGGAAATGAAATCTTTTGTAAAAAGAATAAAGTATTAAGTATTGGAATATTTGTTTTCTAATATTTAGACGACTTTGTATTAATAGAGATCAATTTGATAAAATTATTTTTATTATATATTGTTTTCTAATTTTCTGTATTAAGTCTATAATAAATAATTATTATTAGACAAAAAAAGTAATAAAATGAGTCACATAGTTGTTGTTATTAATATCTTATGTATAGTAGTTGACATAGTAATTATTTATAATTGTTTATGATGACTAGTGATAATTAATAGAAAAATGATATTAATGACTAATTACATTAGTGGATGAGATGGCAATTAATTATATTAATATAGATTAATGTTGATAATTATCAATAGTAATTAGTGAACGTAATAATAATTGTTGATGATATTATAAATGATGGCTAATAATTACTATAATTGATTTTGATTATTGGTGATTATGCTCAGACTAAAACATAAAAATGGTGGTTTGTGGATGATAGATGATTGTGATTGATTGCGATAATAGTGATGATAATTATGGAGGGAAATAGATGGAGAAGCTGTGAATGGTGATTTTCGTAAAGAATATAAATAAAAAAATGTAAAAATATTACTTTGTTATGGATATTAATCATTTGAATTTATCCAAACACATTAAATTATATAAAATAAAAAAATAATTATACTTAATTAAAATTTAAACCTTGAAAATAAACCAACACTTTGTAATTATTTTCGCCGACTAATAATAGTTGTCCATTATACTATTTCGAGATGTCAATAATATTTGTCTACTTTATAAAATTAATTAATGCAGTTAATAATTAATGAAATTTTATTGTTTGATTGGGAACAAGTTCCAAGGATTAGTAGTTATCCTAAGGTAACTTATCTCATCATGTATATGGAATAACTTACCCCATCACTACGGTATAAATTGTGGAAGGGAAAAGGGTCAAATATGCCCCTAAACTTTTCGAAAAGGTTTAAATATGCCCTCCGTTTAAAGTTTGGTCCATATATACCCTCGTCGTCCAATTATTGGTACAAATATGCCCTTATGGTCGTTAGTTGGCCACCTCAAAATATCCTGCGCATTTTACTTTTCTTTAATTGCCCAAATGGATTTTCCACGTCATTTTAATATTACATCGTGGCATTTATATTACAAAAGAGAAAGGGTCAAATATGCCCCTAAAAATCCGACCCAATAAACCCTTTTATTACCCATATTTTATGGTTCAATTATACCCCTCTTTTAAATAACTTATCCTACCCATATCCGACCCAAAATCCATATCGCTTTTCCCCAAAACAAATTAGGGGAAAAGGGATTTGTTAAAATCAGCAACCTGACCTTAGTGAACAATGTTCTCATCTTTCATGGAACCGATGGTGTATTCGACTATCAATCTCTTCTTGATTACATAATTAGAGCATTAAAAAAAGACGATTCACTGTTGTTGCTAAGTTGTTAATTTTGACTTCCGTTTCTGTTGCTTGTAACGATATTACTTTGTTCTCACAATGGATTCTGTTACAATTACCGTCACCATGTTGTTCTCCGAAGGTATCGTTTTGGGATCTTGCAAGAAATGCAAAGGCTACTATGATTTTTCAAACTATTTACTAGATTCTGGCCGCTTGTGCCTTCTCTATCGTCAGCGACAATGGACATCCATTATCCGGAAGAAACAAATAACGATTTTACCACCAATTTTCTGTCAACATCTTCGGCGATAAAAGAGATCCATTATTCAAATGAGATAATTAATGGTTATAACTTATAACTCCAGTGTTCAGTCTTGTTCGCCGGAAAGAATGGAGTTTCGCTATGAATCTCCTTACCTTTTAATTGGTGGGGATGGATTTGGTTAGGTGGACATTTATGTAGCATTATAATATACACATTGAATGCGACACCTCATTTTGTTAATAGGAAGGGTAGAAGTGATTCAATAGTAAGAGGTAAAGGATAATTTTCAGCTAAAACATAATGAAGAATATATTTGCTCTATTTTAAATGTTTTGGGGGAAAAGGGATATGGGTTTTGGGTCGGATATGGGTAGGATAAGTTATTTAAAAGAGGGATATAATTGAACCATAAAATATGGATAATAAAAGGGTTTAATGGGTCGGATTTTTAGGGGCATATTTGACCCTTTCTCTTTTGTAATATAAATGCCACGATGTAA